CACTCTTCAAAGATTATGTTTGATTTGCCTTTATTTCTGGGACTGACCGTCCATAGTGAACAGTTGAAGTGTTTCAAACACAGATAATGCATTAAATGTTCCACGCAAAATTAAATTTTTGCACACAAAACGAATTCTTTACAGGTTGTTCATCTCACAGTCTACAGCTACTTCGTAATTGCATTATTTGCTCGACAATATCTCGATAGATAAAAACGACCCCGGCGAATCCCACTCAAGAAATCGGTGAGCAAATATCGTCTTCCGGTGCTTGAAGCTCACCAAATGCTTTAAAGTGTCGTTTTGTCAAGATTTTGTTTCGAGGATTATGAACAGGATATGAGTATTAAAGAGCCCGTCAGGTTGCAAACTTCCGTTGTGAAAAAAAAAAACTTCTCGTGATTTAGACATTTCACGCCGGGCGATGTAACATGCTTAGCAAGTTATTTGTCTCTTTGAAACAGTGATGATTATCAGCTAGCCGGCAACATTCATTTAACTCATAACATATTACATACATTCATATATTTGACTCATTTGAACTAAATATGATCAGGAGTACATACATCCGTAGTGAAACCATCCTGTTCGCGTTCTGTAGATTAATGTAATTCGAAGTAAAGCTCCATGAAGTGAGGCGGAGCGAGACTAGTTACTGACATCGGATCAATGACGTTTTTATACTAGCTGGCCATATTTCGGCTATGAAGAATTAGCAACACATCGATGCTTTGTCTAGACCCATATCACTTCGAAGATCCTGCTGAAGCCTTCGAGGTTTGTGTGCAGTTGATACCTGAGAGATTCGCAATGCTCTTTTGCACCACCCTGGTTGTGTTCATATCCGATTTTTTTTTTGCTTAAAACTGAACATTTCATTCCAGATAGATCTATATGTACCAATCATGACTATGCTGCAATTCACGTTCTTCATTGGATGGTTAAAGGTGAGAAAAAATTAGAAGTAAATTTATTGACTTAGGCGTCTTTTTTGAAAAATTTCGAATTCCGGGAGATTGCGACCCTCTTTTCGGTGGGCCAATACAAGCTATCCGCTTTGAAATTTCCAACACGCGGTTGACAGCCTGCACAGCCGAATTGAACGACTTGCCAACCCCTCCACTTTGCCTTTCTTCAAAAATTTACTCTATTTCAAATACATTCATTTTCGACAGATTTCTTTTTTCCTCCCTTTTTTCTCTACCGATGGTGCACTTGCTGCAATTTTTTGCTCAAGAACTACAGTACTCGCCGTTTGAAATCGAAAATTCACGCGAATAACGCGAATCCTCGTTAATTTCGTGAATTCGTTATAAGTCGGGTCAGAGTGAAGTATTCCAGAAACGGAAAACACCGTTGAACTCAGCTCTTCAAGCGCTACAAGATGGTGCTAAAATATTTTCAGAAAGCTTGATTTCGGAATGCGCCATGCACTCGATTTCATCTCAAAAAGTAGTTGCTCGCATGTGATGTGTATATAATCCCGCTTATGCGGGCTAACCGCTACACACAAAGAAGGGCCTCAAAACTTACCCCAGAATGCGCCACGTACTCAATCTCATCCACTACATTGTGAGATTAGATGAATGTTATTTTCCGAATTCTTAGATCTTCATTTCGTTTTCAAGCGCTTACTAGCTTTACGTGTTCCCTCTGCTCTCAATATCCCATCCTCTGTATATCAAGTGGAATCTTTGAACAGTTCTCAGCAGGCATAGTGGGCCTATTATGTGACATTTTCCATTTTCAGAGGACATGTTTTGCAGAAAGCTGTGAAGATAGCGGAAGAATTTCCTCCACTGACTACGGTCACT